TGTGCATCAGCATTTTGCTATATGTAGGATAGTTAACTCTCTTCCTTCTAATGTGCATCAGCATTTTGCTATATGTAGGATAGTTAACTCTCTTCCTTCTAATTGTTGCTCATTAGGTAAATKCAAAAGTTGTGGTGAAACCCACAGAGAGTGGGTGAAACATATATTCAAGCRCTATGTGAATGTTTACTGGGGTGCAGAGCAGGGTGGGAGATTGACAGTGCAGAGGTTGAGTTCATCGGTGCTTACAGCTCCTTCTGCGAGCCTCATTGCGTTCACGAGCAGAGACTCAGCTTGCAGATCTTCTCTTCTCTTGCCTCTGCAAAGGACGCTGGCAAGTGGACAAGGGTTTTGCGTCCATTTGATGCAGTGACACCGCCAGTGCTTTGCAGGAAGGGTGAGCCTTTCSCCTTGCGAAGCGCCTGGAGCAGCAGTGCCCCCGTCCGTAAGGAGCTCTGCCAGCAGCCAGCCCTGCAGAGGCAGCAGGTTCAGCTGTAAATTGTGCTTCCCTGCTTTCTGCACCGGTGGATCACTRGCCTGAATGCTCGTTATTGCTAAGTAAGCATGCAATCCAGCGGGATACCACCAACATTAATTTCCAGTTTCTGTTTGAAATTCTCTAGTAATAATTTGATGGTAAAGTATTTAAAGTACAATGTTATATATCGAATAACTCCTCATATGCTTTGGAGCTCCATCTGGAATGTTAGCACCAAGCTCAGACGTGTGGAGAAGTCAGACCACTAACCAGGCAGAAGGAGTCAGCTGTGCTCTATGGTGGGGACTGATCTGGGATCCTCTGATCTGGGATCCTCTCAGTGAACGAAAGAAACCTCCCTTGAAATGTCACCAGATAAACAGTGGCTAGAGAAAGCACAATAAAGTCACAGCTCTATCTCAGTGGTTCCCACATGGAGTATAAGACAGAGTGAGGACCTATTCTGTTAAACAGTAACTGGGTTTATGCATTTTGTTTCCCAAATGACAATCTGTTTGCAGTTAACTAAACCAAATTAAATCYTTTTTCTGAGAGTGATTGTTGTGCCCAATTCAGAAAGAGTGGGGAGTCTCCTACCAAATTTATCATGCTAACCATGCTCTAGCTTTCTCTCGCTACCCTCCAAAAACTTCCTTATGATATTCCAGATATAAAGCTGAGCTCAGTGCCTCTGGAATGGTGTAAGGCTGGTTTGATGAGTCAGAATGCTCGAGCCAGATGTGCCTGTGGGGGAGCATATGGGTGTGGAATGGAGAGATTTGCTGAGTCAGGGGAGTCAAGGTGCTTGTGTGTCTGTCCCGGGTACACGCCCTGTCTGTGACACTGGGGAGCTGGAGATGGGGTATGTCMGTTTTAGGGTGTTGCACTGGTAAAGAGAAACTTCTGTGCAAATCTTTACTTTTACATTAATWAAAAAAAATCTATTATTGTTTATTCCAGAAGATAACATAAGGGAAAAGAAATGTGTCTGTTCCAGATCAGATCAAAGTCGCTCCTAGCCAGGWAAGCAGTGTCCGAATGGCATCACCAGCAGCTGTCTGGTGACCTGCAGGACAAGTGTGCAGTGAATGACATTTCTTCTGAGCGCTCCCCTGGTCTCCAGTCCTTTTTGCACTCCTGTAGAGCCGGGTCTCTGAGGCAGTGCTGTGATTCTGCAGAGTTCCAGAAGGTGGTGGGCTGGGATCAGCACTGGCTCCATGAACCAGCTCCTAAGTAGAAACATTTAKATTACTTTCCACTAAATCCTTTTAAATGGAGGAGGAAAAGTTCATTTGTGGGAAACCAGTAATCTCTGACATTATGCAGTACATTAAGAATGCCTGCAAATTAATGAAGTCCCATTCCAGATATCAAATAACAGTATACTGCATGACTAATCATCTATGAATGGTAAGCTTTGAGAGCCTTG